CAAAACACGATTATTGACCCATCTTTATAAAAAAAAACTTATACAACTTAAATATAATTTCTTTTCATGATAAAACCAGACAAAAGATGAGGGAGGAAAAAAATAGACACTCATCACAGTTAAGTATATTCGTCTTCTATTTATTATCAGTTTATTTTTTTTACATTGGCTTTATTCTTTTCGACGTAATATTCGAGAAGAATATCTTATTATTTTAACACGATTCTTGATTCACTTAAGTATGTGCACTCTTGCATATTTCTCAATTAAATAATGATATCAGAGTAAGAAATGAGTACAAAACGTGCAGTTCGAAGTTCATTCATAGTTCTCTTCTCTTGAAGTCAGATAGATAAGAACCCTGCATAGATATACCATAGCATTTTTCTTTCTTTTTAACCTTGAAGATTCTTTTAGAATAAAACATAGTTTCTTTTTTTCTTTGTACTTAAGAAAAGATAGTAAAGAGTGTAACAGACAATGATCATTATTCTGTAACTTTTCATCATTCTTTTCTTCTCCGTACTTTTATTTTACCACATATATACATGATAGCTACCATTAAATTGAAGAACATCATTTAACTAATGATATATAGAGACGATAAAATATTTTCACCTATGTTTTTAGATGTACAGTAAATTTTCAAGAATTATTTCAAAATAAAAAAACAATGGCATCACCAACAATACCTTCTTCCGCTGATAATGCGGATACTTTACAATCAAAATTATCATTTATTCATCGTTATTATTTACTTTTAAAAGCACATTATTTTCTGTTTTTTGCAGCATATGGTGCATTTTATCCAATATTAAGTATAACATTACGTAGTCGTGGTTTATCCGATACTGAAATATCATATCTTAATATTGGTATTCCATTTTTAATCTTTTTTACAAATCCATTAATGAATTATATTGCTGATCTTTCACGTCGTTATAAACTAACATTTAATTGTGTTTATTTTATAGCAGCTATTGCATGTGCTAGTATATTAGTTGCACCATCTGTTAAATCCGGTAATATACAAGCTACTATGACACATGATACAAAATTAGGTCATATATTGGATTTATGTGCTAGTCAAGAATTAGCAACAAAATGTGCATCAAGAGCTAAGTGTGGATGTACATATCAAGCCAATTGTAGTTTTGATGATGTATTAAATCGTGGATATAATAATCAAATGGAACCTTTTTTGTTTAATTTTTCAATGAAATCAGAAAATATTCGCGAAGAAACTAACGATATAAATGGCGTGACTAAGCAACAAGCATGTGGAATTAAATATAAAGTACTTATTGATAATGATATCAAACAATATAGAGAAAATCCAAGTTTTAACAGATCTCTTAGTAGAGTTCGTTCATCTCGATTAGTTGTTTGTGGAATAACTTGTTCAGAAGCAAATAATTGTCGTGGACCACGTAATTCTGATCAAACACCTTTCATTGTTCTTTATGCAGTCTTATTCGTTGTCGGAACAAGTCTTCTAACAAATGCTATTCCACTTGGCGGTGCAATTTGTTTTGCTAGTATACATCGTGTAGACATTTATGGTCAACAACGTGTTTGGGGTACAATCGGTTTTGGTATAGTAGCATATACTACTAGCCTTCTTTATAACTATTTTCACAGTATATATGTTTATTTTATTATGTTTTGTATTACAAGTGGTGCCTGTATAATTACAACATGTTTTATTCGTATACAACCAGATAAAAAAAAACGACGTTCAACAGTTGATGAAATTATTATTCAAAAGAATGATAATTTAAATCATGGAAAAACGAAGAAAAATCGATCACAATCTAAAATACTAGCAATATTACCATTGTTAAAAAAAGTTGATGTTATTGTTTTTTTTTCACTTACAATTATTTGGGGAATGTCCTATGCAGTTTTAAATCCGGTAAATATTATATATATATATTTAGTGAATAAAATTATTTCGTTCAATTTTAGTATTTATATTTATATATTGATGAAATAGCTCCATGTGATTCCCATTCAGTCATTGGTATAATGTCATTAGTATCAGCTGTCTCTGAAGTTATTGCTCTTTTCTTTGCCGCAAGATTTCTGAAATTATTAGGTACAAATTTATCATCGGTTATTATTTTATTAGCTTTTAGTGTTCGATTTGGTGGTTATTATTTTATTCGTGAACCATATTTCCTTGCATGTATGGAAACAATGCATTTTTTTAATTTTGGTATACTTTTGGTTTTAATACTTCAAAAAGCTGATTCGATTGGTAGATTTCTAATATTCAATTATAATATATGATTTATTTTCTTGTTTATAATATAGCACCACCTGGTCTATCGGGTACACTTCAAAGTGTTTCGATGGGACTTTGCTTTGGTTTAGGTATGAAATTTGATGTACATTCGAATATGTAAATTAATTTCGTTTTTAAATAGGTTGTGGTATTGGTTTAATTGTTTCATTATTTATTTATAAATCACTTGAACACCGTCTTCTCTTTTTAATCTTTGCCATATTTAATTTAATCTGTGCTATTATTTATGGAATTTATTTTCTTATAAGTAGAAAAAATTCAAACAAATCCATTGAACACAATACATCAAATATTATTGTTGAATCTGGTAAATAATCTATATATAATCTATTAAAATATTTTATTTATGTCTTTGTAGATACAAAATCAAATGAAGAACCTTTATTAGTATCATCGATTGAAAATAAATCAGACAATCAAATTGATAAATAAATTTGAAAAAAAAGAAAATTTTCTATTGACTATGAGATAATTTCGATGAATACTAGTGACAAATCACCAAGAATTCTCATAGGCAATATTTTTTTTCTTCTCTTTATCCTTGACATGATACTTTATTTGAGTTAATTGACAATGATAGATCATGTGAAGAACAGTAATAGTTTTTTATATTGTAAAAATCGATCGAAAATCATGGATTAATTTTGATTATGTAAACATTTAATCATAGTTTTTTGATAATGAATTTCTATACTAGCAGTTGAGAAAAACAAATAACCAAAATTTATCTACGGCTTCTGATCGGTTTACACAATATACTTTTTATTCTTTTTTTTATCAATAAAATGTGTTTTTTAAGTTTCGTTCAATCCATATTCGAACTATTTATACAATAATACATGGATAGTTTTGTTTTAAATTATAACTAATATAAACATTCTACTTTCTTTTTCCTAGTTTCAATAACTGATTATATTAAGTTGTATCCAGTAAAGTTGAAGTAATACATACTACTAGTTAGCGAACTTCAGATTTTCATCGATGGAAAGAAAATATGTAAATTTCTTAATATACATAAAAATCATGTAATAAGTCAAGTATGATGGTGAATTATGAATCAATATTTTCTTATTAGTGTTTCCAATTAACTGATCATGAATTTTCTTTTGTATACAAAATATTTTCTTGTTTTTTCAATACTAAATAATTCTGTTAAAAACAAACAATCCTAATTCTATGAATTGTGGGTGATGTCGATAGCTCTGTCTTAGATTTAAATACGGCTATCATTTAATTGGTCAGTAAAATAGATGAAAAGATTGGTAAGATAAATGGTCAGTAAAAACTATGAAAATAAGCAGTAAAAAGCTTAATTGGTCAGTATTCCGATTATCACTCATTTAAAAAGAGGATAAAAGAGTTTTTGATTTTCACTATGCTTTTAATTAAACTAGCAATTAAAATGCAGTAATTTTATAAAAATGAATTTTAGTACCGGTGATCATACAATGCGTTTTTCTGAGATTTATGTTGCGAATTGAGGTGCTCGATAGCTCTTTGGACTCCTTGTCTCTGAAAATTAGTAAATATTTATTTAAAAAGGGAAAAATACTGGAATTCATTAATATTGTCCTATTTTGATCGAATAAAATCAGATTTTTGCTAGTCTTCTTTTTATAAGAGTGATAATCTAAATACTGACCATTTAATCATTTTACTGCTCATTTTCATAGTTTTTACTGACCATTTATCTTACTGATCATTTCATCTATTTTACTGATCGATTAATAATTTACCTTTGAATACTAACAACAGTTCTGATGACTTTACAAATTTTTCTGAACTGAGGTTTTTTTGTAAAAATTGTTCATACTGATGGTTTATTGTTGTATAACTTCACGATTGATTCACCTTCCAAATAATGATAAAATCACTGATTTTTACTACATATGCACTGATTAAACCATTAAATTATTTTCTTTATTATTGCTGTTTGTGAATAAGTTTTATACATTATGTAAGGTCATTACTAGTCTTGTATTGAAGTAAATATTTAATATCTCGTATGACATCGAGAATGGTAATTTAACTCGAATAAAATGATCGAGAGTAATAGAAATAGATATTTGAGCAAGGGTGTAAGTAATGAGATAATTCTCATTTAGCTTAGTATTGTCATATACCTATTTTACCTTCATATTCAACTTTTTTTCTTACTTCTCGCTTCAGATAAATAAAGAAACATTTACTAAACTTTGAAATTCACTTTATTATTTTGTTGTAATATTTAATGTATTAAAACAGTTTAACACTTTGCTTACGTGTGTAAGTGAGATTACAATCTCTTGTAGGTATTACGTTTACTGTGTAATTGAATACACAAATCTGGAGTTTTTTTCAAAGATAACATTACACCTGGGAGTTATCTTCGAACTTGGATTAGTTCGTATGCTACAGCAATTGTTCTTTTCATTTTGCTCTAGTAATCATGTGTTCATCTTGCAAAATAATTACTTTCAATGCAAAATATTTATTCAATTGATATACAAATGCGTTATCCTATTCATATTTTTCTTCTTAATTTACTAATTATTTTAATTCATCTAATAAATCTGTAATGCATTTGTTCTATCACTATATCTATTACCGTTATTATTAATATATAATCCATTCGAACATATTTTCAAAATTAGAGTTTCTAAAAGGTACATAGGATATTCTAGAACAACGTAAAGCGTTGACCATGCCTTTTGATGTTTATTTTTTGTTATTCGAAAATTATGAAAAAGAGAGTGTGATACTTGCTGTTCTCGATTATTCCTAAGTCATTCATATTCTATGATCTATTACTTAATTATAATCATATTGAATATTTATTAGCGTATTGTAGATATTTTCAAAATTTTAAGACGTTAAAATGAAAAATAAAGCAAGTTAATAGAATCTTTTATTTAAAATCTATGAAATAGTTTCAATAAATAAAAAAAGAGTGTTGTTATTGTTTTTACTTTTTGTTTGGATCAACAGATTTAATTGAATCATTATCAATTTCAAAAATCCAATCTTTTTTTGGCGATGTAACACCATCAAATGGTTTCGTTAATTCAATTGTTGATCCATCATATCTTCGAACACGAACTGATTGAACTGTTTTATGATATTTTCCATCAGATTCTCCATGTTGAAATTCTTTTTCATCTATTCGTTCTTCTTCACCTTTTGCTAATTCAATATCAGCTATTTCATCATGATGATCTTCTATGCCAGCAAATTTAATTCGTACATCAATTTCAGCATCACTATTATTTCTAATTAAACATGAATAAATAGCTGCTGGTGATCGAGCATTAACTCCGGAAGTTGTAGACATCTAAAACATAAAAAAATTAAAAATCTGTCGCATAAAATATTAATCGAATATGTAGGGTAAATAGTATTCCGTCATTCTAAAAAGAACTGTATTTATGAATCACTATTGAACGAAAAAACAAAATAAACAAACATGATATTTTCATGAAGAGGTCACCATAGGATGGTATTTGTTCTTTACATGTAATCTCGAAGCGTATAAACTAAAGCGTATGTATATGTTTTGTACATCGATAACGAGCTGATTTATATAGTTAATGAAAAGCTATTCTTATTTTTTTGTGAAGATGAAAATTTTGTTATTTTATATTTTGGAATTGTTTTTAGCTATGAAAAATTGTATCTTTTCGTTTATCATATTCATGGGTTAAAATACATTCTTCCCCACTTTCATATTTGTGTTGTTTTCATTCACATTTTTTTCTTCGTCTTTCTAGATTGAGAGTACATATATTTTATCTCATTTTAAATATGAATCTGATGATGTAAGAGACGACAATAGAAAAAATATTATATCGAGTGTATTTTTTAGAACAGCGAATAAATAATTGAACCTTAATCCTTCATATGATCAGATAGACAAAACTGACTAAATACTTGTGGCGATTTTTGATAGAATCACACTTTATTATATTTTTCCTTATCGAAAATCGCATCGCCTTTATATACTTCGCCATCGTGAGAGAATAAATGATACTACAGTTCAAATAACTAAGGGTCCGAGTTGACTATATGTTCACTTGAAGTTTTATTCTAATACTATACTAAAGAGTTATCATGTGCTATTACATAGAAACATAGAACATGACTAGAAGTATCTAATAACATAAACCAATACAATAAAGAACAAACACAGAAAAAAGAAAGGTAGTATATACCCTGTCAGTATGATATTCACGATGCAAAAGACAGATGGTACAATACACACAAAAGTACTGAACAAAAGCCAGTTATATGTTTATAGAGTAGGGCGCACCTTGTTATATTACAAGCTACATTCATCTTCAATTATCCCTTCTTCTTCATAATCATCCTCCATTTCACTCGTAAAAACGACAAGTTCATTCACTTGATCATTGATAATATCAGTACTATTTATTACTATAGACAGAGACATGACCAGTCCACATCAGCCTATAGTATATGAAAGTCGAAAGAACACATAATAATGAAATGAAAATGGATAAAAAAAATCAAATTTTTACTCGGACTTTTAATAGTTTAGACTGTGGAAAAACAAAACTCTAATTTTGAATCGACACACTTAAGAAACCTATTTCTTCAAGTACTACTTGAGTAGTATCTAGCATTTGTTAATCACTCATGTGAAAAACAGTTCGTATTTATAGAACAATTACTACACTCAAATATAATCAAGAAATTCGTTAAAATAATAAGAATGGAATTCAGATCTAAGTTCTAACTCCGACAGTTTCATTTGATTATATTCAATAATTCTATGCATCTTTATTTTGTCATGAATAAAAACTTTTAACTTGTTTTTCATTCAACAAGCTAATATAAAGTAATGATATATATAAGAAATATAGAAGTAAATAGAATAAAAAAGTTTTTTGTTATTATAAATGTATTGTTACACATATCTTGATCTGAACAAAAACAAACTTCTTTCATTTTTGTATCATCTTTTTTCACTTGTTGACATCCATCTGATGTATTAACACCCATTTCAGAAGCTCGTACAAGTTCATTAGCAGTAAAACATCGACGACTTGATTTACGTTTCGATTGATTAATATGTTTTAGTAATAATCCAATTTGACTATTGTTTTCATATCGTTTTGTATCAATTAAATCAACTGATTTCCAACATTTACCATCACATTCTTCTTTTGTATGTTGTGTAAAATCAAATTCACCTCTACAATCTTAAGAAATATTAACATAAGTATTAAAATAATATTAGAAAAAAAAAGCGTTACGTTTACCATCAAGAAATACTCCATTCTTATCTGCTGATTGAACTGTAATTTCACATTTCCAACATTGTAGTGGAGGCTCATTAGATTTAACTTGATAAAAAATCATAATGAAATACAATGATATTATTATACATTTACTTGTCATCATCTTTCAATGAAATGTAGATTTATTTAATGAACAATATTGTTCATCTCTTTCTTTTTTTACTATTGACAAAAAAAACTTATCATTATTTACTCTATATTCTATTTTTGTAAATAGAAATTTAATTGATTGAAACATTGTTTTTTTGAAAACAAAATATTTGTAAAAGTGATAATACTACATACTATGATCTTAATTGAAAT